GGTCAAGGTCAAAAGGTCAAATATGATGGTACCCAAAGAAAGGTCTTGTCATAAGGAATGCACATGTGAAATATGAAAGCCATAGCTCCAACCATTCAAAAGTTATGGGCAATGTTAAAGTTTTTGCGGACAAAGAGACAAAGACACAAACAGACAGACGGGCGGACAGGGCAAAAACTATATACCCCCGAATCTTCGATACGGGGGCATAAAAAAATTCAAGCACTTAAGACACTAAATGACCGGCACAGGAAATACGTAATATGTGATGAGTATAATATAAAAACCACACAAAAAGAGGGGAATTTGTAAAAAAAAACAAAAAACAAAACAAGATGTGTTTGTGAAACACTGATGCTCCAGTATGGCAACTTGTAGCAAACTTTCTCTAGTGCAAAACAAATATGTTGGTATCCAAAGTAAGGTCTCGTCTCGAGGAATATACCTGTGAAATATGAGAGCCCTAGTAGCAACCATTGAATAGATATGGAAAAGGTTAAAGTCAATGTCAAATGGTCAAAATTAATGGCGCCTCAGGAAAGGCCTTCTCACAAGAAATATACAGGTGAAATATGAAAGCTGAAGCAGCAATAGTTCAAAAGTTATGATCTAGGTTTAAGTTTTTCAAAAGTAGGTCAAACTCCAAGGTCAAGGTCAATGGATTACAATTGTTGGTATCCAAAGGAAGGTCTTGTCACAAGGATTACATATGCGAGTTATGAAAGCCCTAGAATTAACGGTTCAAAAGTTATGGCCAAGGTTAAAATTTTCCAAAAGTAGGTCAAACTCCAAGGTCAAGGTCAAAAGGTCAAAGTTTTTGGTATCCAAAGGAAGGTCTTGTCACAAGGATTACACATGTGAAGTATGAAAGCCCTAGCCCCAATTGTTCAAAAGTTATGGCCAAGGTTAAAGTTGGGTACAATTTTGCTAAACAGGGTCAAACTCCAAGGTCAAGGTCAGAAGGTCAAATATTGTGGTACCCAAGGAAAGGTCTTGTCACAAGGAATAAACATGTGGAATATGAAAGCCATAGCTCCAATCAATCAAAAGTTATGGGCAATGTTAAAGTTTTTGTGGACAAACAGACAGAGAGACAGACGGACGGACAGGGCAAAAACTATAAACCCCCGAATCTTCGATACGGGGGCATAAATATATTTACGGGGGCATAAAAATATTTATATGAGAACAATTGTTGGAATTTGTGAAGATACATCTACAATTTTCTTTCTTTCTCTCTCTCTCTCTCTCTGATTTATAGACAAATTATCTAATTTTAAAACTAGAATCGATTCATGAAACCAAGAAAACCAAAAGTTAATCTGAATTCCACATCACATACATCCACAGCACATTGGATTTCGGAATTAATTCCAGAATCATGGGGAAAATATAATATATTTGACACATGGCTTGAAATTCAGTTCAGGTCGTTTCTGTGTGATTATAGCTTTCTTAAGTTTTTTTTAGCTCACCTGAGCCGAATGCTCAAGTGAACTTTTCTGATCACATTTTGTCCGGCGTCCGTCTGTCTAGCTGTCTGTCTGTAAACTTTTCACATTTTCGACTTCTTCTCAAGAACTACTGGGTGAATTTCAACCAAACTTGCCACAAAGTATCCTTGGGTGAAAGGGATTTAATTTTGTTCAAATGAAGAACCACGCTCTCTTTCAAGGGAAGATAATTAGGAATTAGGGAAAAATTAATGGTATCTTTTAAAAATCTTCTCCTCAAGAACCATTGGGCCAGGAAAGATAAAACTTATGTGGAAACATCCTCAAGTAGTATAGATTCAAATTTGTTCAATTATGACCCCTGGGGCTGAGGTGGGGCCACAATGGTGGATCAAAGTTTTACATAGATAATATATAGGAAAATATCTTTAAAAATCTTCTTCTCAAGAACAGCAAAGCCATGATTGGTCATGTTTATATGATAGCATCTTCAGGTAGTTTAGATTCAAGTTTGTTCAAATAATGACCCCAGGGGTAGGGTGGGGCCACAACGGGTGATCAAATATTAACATAGGAATACATAGGAAAATTCTTTCAAACTCTTCTTCTCAAGAACAGCAAAGCCATGATTGGTCATTTTGATATGGAAGCATCCTCAGGTAGAATAATTCAAGTTTGTTGAAATCATGACCCCTGAGGTTAGGGTGGGGCCACAATGGGGGATCAAAGTTTTACATAGAAATTAAAGGAAATTATCTTTAAAAATCTTCTTCTCAAGAATTCAATGATTGGTCATTTTGATATGGAAGCATCCTCAGGTAGTGTAGATTCAAGTTTGTTCAAGTCATGACCCCCGGGGTAGGGTGGGGCCACAATGGGTGATCAATTTTTTTCATAGGAATATATAGGAACAAGATGTGTTTGTGAAACACTGATGCCCCCGTATGGCAACTTATAGCAAAGGTTAAACTTTCTCAAATGGAAATCAAATATGTTGGTACCCAAAGCTCGAGGAATATACCTGTAAAATATGAAAGCTCTAGCAACAACCATTAAATAGATAAAGAAAAGGTTAAATTTTTTCAAAAGTAAGTCAAACATCAAGGTCAAGGTCAAATGGTCAAAATTAATGGTGCCTAAGGAAAGGCCTTCTCACAAAAAATATACAGGTGAAATATGAAAGCTGAAGCACCAATCGTTCAAAAGTTATGACCAAGGTTAAAGTTTTTCAAAAGTAGGTCAAACTCCAAGGTCAAGGTCAATGGATTACAATTGTTGGTATCCAAAGGAAGGTCTTGTCAAAAGGAGTACATATGTGAATTTTGAAATCCCTAGCACCAACGGTTCAGAAGTTATGGCCAAGGTTGAAGTTTTCAAAAGTAGGTCAAACTCCAAGGTCCTCGAGACAAGACCTTACTTTGGGTACCAACATATTTGATTTGCATTTGAGAAAGTTTAACCTTTGCTATAAGTTGCCATATGGGGGCATCAGTGTTTCACAAACACATCTTGTTACATATTAAAAGGGGACTTTGAGAACTTGTGTACTTACATATTTTTTTGCAGGAGGTTAATTATCTCCAGAAACAGATTCTACGGACCTAAATTGGAGTCTCATACACACATGTACTACCGTAAGTTGTATAAATACTTTATACTCATTGAAGTAATTTTACTTTTATTAGTCTATTATTCAATTGATCTTGTATGATGAAGTTGAATCATATTAAAAATTAATTGTCTCGTTTGGTTGCCCAAATTAGTGGTTGGTCATGCTGAAATGTGAATTTAATTACACCTGAATATATGATGTAGGCAACATTTTTTTTATATTTTTCCCAATTTCATCAAATTATGACCCCAAGGGATAGGGTGGGCCTGTGACAATGGGGGATCATATTTTTACATAGGAATATATAGGGAAAAAAATCTTTTTCCTCAAGAAAAGAAAAGCCATGATTAGCCATATTGATATGGAGGCATCCTCAAATGAGGGCCCCTGTGGGTAGGGTGGGACCACAACGGGGATCAAATATTTACAAACTAATATTTAGGAAAAAATCTTCTGCTCAAGAACAGCAAAGCCATTTGTTATATTGATATGGAAGCATCATCGGGTAGTTTGAAATTTAAGTCCCCCCCTCCCCATGTAAACCTTTTAATACTGAACTGATTTTTGCTTTTTTTCCTTGCCAATGTGCTCATGTTAGCGATATGGCCCATGGGCCTCTTGTTTCCGTTCATTGTCGATAGCTTTATTTCTAGAAAATTTCATGTATACGAATATATTACCAAATAATAATTATTTCATGTATTTTAAAAAAGAAATGTTTATTTCAAAGGTATTACTACATGAAATTCTGACGATTCATATAAAAATCTATGGCTCGACCTTTTATACAATTCGAACCTATTGTTAAGCAATATTTTTCTGATGAACTTATCTTCCCCATCGTATTCAATCAATTATGATCTAGTGTTCTAGTAGTTCTAGTGTATATATATATATATATATATATATATATATATATATATATATATATATATATATATATATATATATATATATATATATATATATATATATATATATAAAATTATATATGTATATATAAATATATAATAGTGTTGTACTTTGCATGCACTATGCCTAAATAGTAGTCAGGGTTTGGCACATGGTGCACGAGCCGGACTACTATTTAGGCATAGTGCATGCAAAGTACAACACTATTGTTATTATTATGCTGACTGTATAAAAAAGACAATATTTTCTCCATTTCCAATGTTTCATCACCTCATATTTACATTCAGTGTAATTTTCTTTATGAAATCCACGACGTTCAAATCTCTATAACACACGCGAAACCTTGTCACCGAGCGGTAGAATACACAGTAGGAACTATATGCATTTTCAATGCTCTAGGAACACCAAAATTGTATTGTTTTGACTCAGTTTAATAAAAAAACAACTACCTTTTTAAATTACCGTAAAATGCAATAAGTATGCGTTTTAAATTAAATTCCATTTAGCTTACAGCACAAATTTTGTGAATAACATCTTTAAAGCCTTTTTTAAGCGTCATTTGTTTGGACCGATTTTCCAAAGGCTTTAAAAAGAGCAACGTTTTATTGCATCGATTTGGAAACAAAGATTTTAATTTTATTGCATCACTATTTGCAATCTTAATGGAAATCCAAAGTAGCAATGTCTATTAAGGTGGATTTGTTCTACAAGGCGTCATCAATAAAGCAATACTTTGTTTGATTTAGTGCCAAAAGCATTCTATAAAAGTTTTATTTATCAACGATAATATTTCATACATGAAAATATTTTAGCCCAATATTGGTGAAGAAATGATATGTGGTGTTTGGGAATTCTTAATAAATATCATATATTCGCATTTACATATTGTAAAATTTTGTGTACTATTTTTAGGGGTACTATTTCTAAATATGATAAGTGCTTAACATATTTAGATGTATATTGTACAAAATTCTTTACCCCTGCAATGTATATGCAGGAAGTGTTCTCCAACATCAGACTATTCAGTACAAACGACAGATGAATTTGAATGATGACGATCCTGAGGACGTCTCCTGCAACCGAGTGTCCGTGTCCGATCGGAGGTAGTCGCCACTACTGTCAGGTTCCCCGACATCCCATTTAAAGTAGGTCATTAACTGTCCATTATCATCAACAAAATTAGAACCACCAGATCGCGTCCCCTGTAGATAGATAGGTCCTGTATGGTATGTATCTGTTCATGTAAAAATGACGATGCTTCAAAATATATAAACAACAGTAATGTCAACACATTTAATATTTATTAGAAAAACATACTGTACAGTGTAATTGATATTGGTCTTTGTGTTTCTAAAATGACAACCAATAAGTTTTTCCTTGTTGTTGAAATCATTTTCAATAATAAAGAAATGAAATTGTGTGTCTTTTGTGTGTCTTTTGTATCTATTCAACTCTAAGAGAAAATTCCCTTCTCTGCTGGCAACAGTTGTGCATGAAGAAGTGATCGTATTGTTGTATGATCTTTTTCTCAAGACGCTTTAACTTAAAGAGAGAGGGAGAGAGAGAGAATTTTTCATATACCTATAATTTTAACCGCGAAGTTGTATGTATCATCCGAGTCAACGAGCAGCAGGCGACTGTTCCCATGTTCTGTCTGACATTTTGCCTTGGCATTTAGTACATTTAGTTTGGATACATGAAGATGGTAACATATGCCATAAACAAAATCCCAGGTATATCCAAGTGGATTCAGTGAACTACATGACCCTGTTAATGAATATGACAGTTACACAGTGTCTTTTATATTAAAAATAAATAAAAAATAAATAAATACATGAATAAAAAATAAATACATAAGGTACCTGAAAAAAGTGTAGCCACATGCATGTTTTATTTGTCTTTTGAATTGTCATTAATATACACCTGTATTTCACAGGAGTAACAAATTGTTAAAAAACTTTCATAATTTTAAAATATTTCTTTTCAAAAAAGAAATGAAATGAAAGCTCATTTTAAAAAGACAACTGCATATCCGGATTTGTATTGTTGTGAAGAAACGCCGAATGATAAAATTTATCATAATTACAGAAATAATTTGTGTTAGTTCATTAAAAAATGATTGCTTTGACATTACTAATAGGAAAGCAGTGTTCTGATAAGCACTGTTTTTTTTAAACGTCCTTGCAAAATTTTGGAAAATAATCTTAGTTTTAGGATTACTTCGACGAGTAGAAAAATCTGTAAAACTAATATATTTTGTTATCTGCATGGTAATAGTAAATCAGAGAGATGATTCATTTAGCCACAATAACACAAGGAGATGATAATAAAAAGTTTTCGGTAAAACCCTTTAGAATATACAATATAAATACTTAAGTATTTTACTTATGTTAAAGTGTTTAACTTTGATATAACGGAACGTTCGAACCTGTCGTGTGGAGATTTTTTTTTTTTTTTTTTTTTTTTTGATTTTTTTTTTTTTTTAGATGTATTGACATATTTGATCGTAATACCCCTTGAATTTACATAGTTGTTTCTTATATCCGTGTGACAAAATTTAAGTTTACCTTAAAGATGGCTTTATATCACTGTACAAGTATAAAGCGTTTCTGAACATCACAGTAAAGTAGTGTACAAACCTAACATTGAGCTTACAGTTGCAACATCAGTAAGGTTATTTTGTAGGCTCCCTTGAGTTGATGTTCCTGCATTTGTTGGCGGAGACTGGTCATGAACGAAATAGCGCGTTCCAGGCATTTGAATTAAGCTTGCAGAACTTTGAGAAAATGCTGTCGAATAACCCTTACATAGCAATGGTGAATAAAAAACTGACACACAGGATTTGGCATCTACACATTGTAGAACACACTCAACAAGACTGTGTTTTGGAGAAAACAAGAATTCCTGGTCAAAGCTTACTTTATCATCCAGGTATTTTACACGTTTGTATTTGGAAATAATCAGGCTTATTCCCGTTGCACTGATTTTAGCCGTGAAAATTAAAACCAACAGAAATGCAAATGATTCAGGAAACATGAACATTTTTTTCATTTCACGAGTCTGATCATCTGATCATTTTGTATGTTCCTCCTGAAGATTTAAACGATCTTCGAATACAGATAATACTGCTTATTGAATTCCATAATAGAATCTACTTGCAAGGGGTTTCTAGGATTTAATGCTCACCAGTCCCGTCAAGCTGAATATAACATATTTATCTTGAATTCGACGTTTTTAAAAGTTATATTTGTAATACCCATAATCATTATACGAATGAAAAAGTGAAAAAAAAATTGGATCAAACAAGGATGTAAATCTTTTGTGTTGCGTTTTCAGATGGTTGCTATGTTTTCATCTATTTGAGTACTTAATTATTTTAAACAATAAAATGCTTTCTTTGTTGTTAGTATTGGAATTAATGTTGCAGCTGTTGCAGAAATTAAAAACCCGCGTAAGTGAGTTATGTAAAGTTTTTCTTCAATTGCTTCAACGTTAGTTCCCATACTAACAACCAAAGAAAGACATTTTATTGTTTATATTTGTATCTGTATAAAAAAATATAAAGCAAAATTAAGTAGGTTGAATATTTTATCATTGATATGTATGGCATTGTATGTTTCATTGATGGAAGAGCCACAGTGCTTTAGAAATCTATAGAAGTGACTTGCTTAGCGGCGATTACTGACTGATTAACAGCAATGGTTTTCATAGAAATAAATAAGATGATATTCAGTAGATGTAAATATTTTCTGACGAAGTCCGCGTATACCTTACTGCAAAATATAAAGATTGTAACGTGTTTGCCTAACACGTATATATTTCGATTTAATTGCTGAAAATTAAATCGCGTTATTAGAGAGGCCCAATTTGGGGTTATCGGGTCATTAGCATTTCCCCGATTTTTCAACTTTTGGTATTTTAGTCGAATCCTAGGTACTTCCTTTTCCTTTGAAGAACGACGAAGAGCAGACGTATCTTGCATCTCAAGTTGTAAATTTGTTTTTTTTTTTCATATTGAAAAAATTCCCACCCACCCACACCCTGTATTTATGAATATATAATTATAAATGTTTTATTGGGTGTAATTATTCTGCCAGAAGCGAAGGTTACTTCTAGATGATCAGACAGCCTGCTTAGGCAACGCTCACGTAGACTGTTGCATAGATAAAACATTGTTCAGCAAATCGCATAGTAATGTTGACTTACGAGCAGACTTACCAATATCTTTACGCTGGCCATCTTCTTCTGCTACTAATCTATGAGTAACTCTATCTGTGACTGTATCTGCTACTCTATTCGTAACTCTATCAGTAACTAATGCAATTGAGTCTCGGAGGCCTTATATATACCCTGGATATGTCACGTGATCAGCCCATTTGGCATACCTGGGGGTTTTACTAACTCAGGGTCCTTGCGGAACGCCCTGTCCTCTTCAATTTATTACCTATAGCCGTTACATTACCCATGCCTCAGATTCAATCGTCCTCGCTTGCGTAAAAAACACCACATTAAACATCGAGGCATATAAACAATTTTTCTTATTTACAATGATTCAATGTCCGTCAATTACTTTGACAAGAACGATATAGTATAGAAAACTTAAATTTCAAAGCGCTCTTAGTTGTTTTAGTTTAGGCATAGTCTAATTCAAGTCAATGCTCTTCTTCCTTTTAATGATTTTGATCACTCCATTCTCCCATTTTGTACTTATAGTTTTTATGGAATGTACATTAAGTGCTGGCTATGCCTGAGTGGCCGCGTTCACAGTAGATACCTTTGTAGATTTCTCCAAACCATGCACCACCGGCTTTGACTGTTAAATTTCTTTGCTCTTTGTCTAGGAACCTGTTTAAAGAACCTCTCCAGGATCCTGAAATTCCCAGTCACTTTGGTTAGACTCCTTCCCCACATGGTCACTAATAGGGGTCTCTTCTGGATTGTCTCCACCAACTACAACATCAGTTGCTTTTGTAATCGTGCTTGGCTTTTGCTTCTTAGTAGGGGTGGAGCATTATGAACTTTCATGTGTTTCACAAGGTAGCTGTTCTTTTTGAACTTGGCTCCATAAGTCATACATTTAAATCTCTGTCCTGAGCACAAAATAACGTGGTCCTGCCGTGGCTCATCTATGGCTTTGTCGCAAAAGGGACAGTCAGGGTGTTTAGCTTTAGTGAATTTTATATATATTATATTTTATAACCTACAACACAGAAAAATAATTTAAATCTTATTCAAACTCTGCGGATGTCATCTTTGGTTTCAAAAAATAAACATAAATAATATGTTTAGCATAGACCTACTACATAATCTGATGAATAAGCAGAAGTTCGCTAGCTTCTAACTGATCTTTGGGGCTTCTGATCGACTACTGGATCATCAAGATCCTCTATATCAGGTCCAACTCTTCAATTTCATCTTTCCTTAAAGCGTGATCGTCATTCTTGTCGTCCTCACCAGAATCACTTAATTCTACCTCACCAGACAGTATCCGAGGTTTAACCAACCTCATTCTACCAACATGTGTTACCTGTTGTGACACTTTGCTACCACAAGACAATTTGTATGTAAACTCTGAACATTTTTCTAGTACCTCGAATGACCCTTGCCAAAAGCTTGTTAGCTTTGGTGAAGTACCCATACGTCTGCGAGGAAAGAAAACGTAAATATGATCTCTTGTGGAGAATCTCTGCCACCGTAATTTCGTGTCATGATACCGCTTTTGGCGCATCATTTTTCCTTTAGTGTTTTCTCTTACAATACGATGTGCCTCCTCCAGTCTCTGTTGAAGTAACCAGGTCCATCTATTCTGTGGAATAGGCTTTCATTTTACATCCATTTTGTATACGAGGTTTAGAGGTGTTGTCGATTCCCTACCAAGCATAAGGTAGTTTGGAGAGTAACCAGTTGTGTCATGTTCAACAGATCTGTACATCATCATGACATATGGTAACTGTTCGTCCCAGTCTGTGTGATTTTGGTTAACACAGGAACTCAGCATTGCTTCAAGGGTCGGGTTAAACCTTTCCACCATACCATCTGATTGTGGATGGTATGGTGTGAGTCTTTTCTATTTGCTATAGCTCACACGCTGATTTAAACAAATAACTCTCGTTTTGACGTCCTTGGTCTTAGTGTATTGTATATCGTACCCCATGGTCTCTTTGTCTACGGTTCTCCGACAAACTAATTTATTCTGAACAGTTAGTAAGCTTAGCTGAGACCATAAAGAACGTAGAAATGCACTTTGACTGTCCACATCTCTAAACGAAGGTTTCTTTTCCTGATATATCCAACGTTTCACACGTGCAAGCTCTTTGTCTTCGCTTTGGACCTTATGAATATTAGTCTTTTTGAGAACTGGAATGTCTACCATTGCACTCCTTACTATGAGTTCTTCATCTTTCTTATCCCAGTCAACTTTATAACCACAATTTTAGGAAGGAAAACGACTTAGTGCATCAACGTTTTTCGACGGATTTTTCCGTTATTTCCCGATCATGACAAGGAGCACATGGCGGGTGTGATCGGTCGGCAGGGGATGCTCACTCCTCCATTGCACCTGATCCCACCTCTGATGATTTGGAGGTCCGTGTTTGCTCTGCACCTATTTTGTAATGTTTAATGGACTTTTGAGCTTGAATACTGTTCGTTATCTCCATATATTTCATTGTGGTACTTCCCTGGTCGATGTTGTACCTCCACATCATAGGTAGACAATACTTCAAGCCAGCGGGCAAGCTGACCCTCAGGATTTTTAAAGTTGGAAAGCCATCTTATTGAGCTATGGTCCGTGCGCAAGATAAACCTCTGTCCATAAAGGTAATGCTTCAAATACTTAGTAAAATATACTGAAGCCAGTAACTTTTTTCTCATCACGCAGTATTGCCTTTCTGACATTGTAAATGTCTTGCTGGCGTAGGCAATTACTCTTTCTTTACCTTCATGAACTTGCGACAACACTGCTTTCATTGCAAAGTTACTTGCATCCGTGTCTTACATGAATTTCTTGCTACAGTCGGGATGAGCATGGATTGGGGAGCTTGTCAGAGCAACCTTTAACCTGTCAAAAGCCTTTTAGCACTCCGCATTCCAAACACAGAATTTGCTTTTCTCTGTCTGTTTGTGAAGGGGTTTTGCTATACTCGCAAAGTCTTTAACAAACTTCCTGTAGTAGCTACATATACCCAGGAATGAACGTAGCTCGACTCACATTGGCCGGCATTGTCATATCCTTTAATCTTCCTTGGATCAGTGGCAATACCTTTCTCGGATATATTATGTGTCCGAGATATTCTACTGACTTGCAAAACAAAAACAATTCTTTGTCTTTAATTGTAACCCTGTATTTGCTATTCGGTCGAACACTTTGCATAGATTCCCTATTATCCCCTCGAACGCTTACTAATGACAATGATATCATCCAGGTAAATCAAACAATTCAACCCTGCAAGGACTGTTTCCATCAATCTTTCAAATGTTGTCCCGGCGTTGCACAAACCGAAGGGCATCACTTTAAATTGATACAATCCTTTCCGGGTGGCAAAAGCTGTCTTTATTTTGTCACTGGATTCCATTTCTACTTGCCATTATCCCATGACCAAGTCGATGGTCAACTACATCTAACATGTCGTCGATCCTCGGAAGAGGGTAAGTATCTTTCAAAGTAACCGCATTTAGTCGCCGATAATCAATACAAAATCGAATGGATCCATCTTTCTTTTTGACTAGTACAATACTCGAGGCCTAGGGGCTAGATGAAGGTTCAATAACATTTTCTTTCAAGCATATCATCCAGCAACCTGTCTGCTTCTTCTCTCATGTGTATAGGTAACCGGCTTGGTGGCCGTTTTATTGGGCGTGCGTCCCTGTTGTCAGTACTATGCTTAACAACATCTGTTCTGTCAAGTCCATCATCTGAACCAGCGAACAGAAAAGCATATCTGGACAAAAGTTTATCTACTTTAGTCTTTTTTTTTGTTTAAGGAAGTTTCTGACTTTTCACTGAATACTTGCAGCTCTTTTGACAAGGTTTTTTTTTTCCAAAAATTGTTTTCTTCATTTCCTCCATTTAATATCTTTACCACTGAGCTAAGCTGCCCCATATTAGTTCCCTTGGAAATTGTCTGCGCGTCAGTTGAAAGGTGCATGACTCGTATTGGAACTTTATTATGATTGCTGACCAGAGTTCTGCATACTTTTTTTTTCTTTTTTCTTTGTTTGAATCTATGAAACAATTCCTTGGCTCCACAACACCATATCCACTTGGTAGGTTCTTGCCCTCTGGTACGCACACATCGCAGCTTGTAATCATCTCACTTCTTGGCGGAAAAGTGAATGATTCTGAAGCCACCACCCGATAACATTCTAGCATACCTTGGTTTAAAGAATGGTGTTCACCATTTATTGACATTACTTTCTTGGAGACGTCTAACATGCAGTTTTGTTCATTCATGAAACCCAGACCTAGGATTCCATCCATTGTTATATTAGCGGCCACCACTGTTCTCAGAAAGTGACTCGAACCGATCCTTAAAGTTAAGGTAACTTTTTCAAAAAGTTTCAGGGATCTACCCCCAGCGCACATAATATCTTGGTGTATATCATCCAGAACAAGGTATTGATTAGCCTTGTGTATTTCACTGAAGACTCTCTTTGCAATGAGTCGCTCCCGTATCTCTATAAAATCTGCAGGCCTTGGTGTCTCACGAAGAATTTCACTCTGTGGCAATCTGCTCTGAAACCTGATCAGGGCTTGGTTTACTTCTTCTAACGGGCTTTGGGTCATTATTCCAATGTCTGCCCCTGTACTTCTGGCTGGAGTCGATGTTTGCTGATAATTATTTTCTGCTGACGTTCCTGAATTCTCAAGCGCCGTCCTTCCTAAACGTGTAATTTCGGCATTTACGATTTCTTCATCTAAGTTCGATCGACATTTTTTAATCAATGAATTTTTACAAAGAAAGAGACAGAAGATATATAAAAAATTTACTATTTATTTTTTAGTCAATCAATAACCAAATCAGTCCCTACATGGGCGCCAATTTCTGTAACGTGTCTGCCTAACACGTATATGATTTTCCTCTGTGTCTAGGGGCCCCCTCAGACAACTTGCTGGGATATTTGATTGTTTGATAAAAACTTATTTACATTTCCAATATATGCATATATTGGGTGCTTCCCTAGCACGCAAGTAAACAAAATAATTAAATCAGCTGCCTCCTATTCAATGGAGCTTCTAAACTGAAGTGACTTCCCGAAGCGCCCTCAGAAGCAACCAAAGCGCCGGCACGTTAATTCTACCAGAAGCGACAGGTTACTTCTAGATGAACAGACAGCCTGCTTACGCAACGCTCACATAGACTGTTGCATATATAAAATACTGTTCAGAAAATTGCATAGCAATGTTGACATACGAACAGACTTACCAATATCTTTAAGCCGGCCGTTTTCTTCTGATCCTTATCTATGAGTAACTCTGTCTGTGACTGTATCTGCTACTCTATTCGTAACTCTATCAGTAACTAACGCAACTGAGTCTCGGAGGCCATATATATATATATATATATATATATATATATATATATATATATATATATATATATATATATATATATATATATATATACCCTGGATATGTCACGTGATCAGCCCATTTGGCATACCTGGGAACTCGGGGTTTTACGAACTCCTTGCGGGACGCCCTGTTCCCTTCTCTTTATTACCTATAGCCGTTACAAAATCATACATTCTGAAGAATGTGTTTTCTAATTTAATTTTATTCCATCAAAAATTCAAATTTCTTGCTAAGTGTTTATATTTGGAAAGAAAGAGGGCGTTCACGAGGGCGAAGACAATCCCCCGCTCTGAGACAATATATTTCTCAATTTTCAAAGTTCGCGAAAAAGATATATTTTTCTGAAATTATGATTTCAGTAATGTCATCTTCAACACGTTTGAGTTATTTATTTTATTTTATTTTATTGAAAGACTAATTGATTGATAATTTGTTTTTAAAGTTGACAGTTAAGCAAATTTAGTGGAAAAATGGATTTATAAGAGGTATAAAAGTGATATTTGAATGTGACGTCTCTATTATGAGTGAAAAATTCTCGAACGGGACGTAAAACAACAATCAATCAATCAACAATACAAAAAAATATAACTTTTCA